ATCCCTCTCAAACCAGGAAAAAGACTTTGTGCTGGCCCTAGTGAGGTTGCCAGAGTTTCCCATTTGTACTGTTTCCTCCTGAGCTTTTATGACATATTGTGAATGAAACGAATATACTGATCTCTAACAAACTTGGGTGAGTCCAGGAGAACAGTTCTTAGCTCTCCAGTCTTTAACAGAGCAGCTCTGAAGCTGCTTTAATTTACCTTAGGGATATAGATTCATCCATGAGATGGGGTTTATGTGGGATCAAAACAGAGGTTCAGCTCCACTCTCTTTCTCAGTGCTGACAGAAACATGACAAAAAGCAATATGCTCAAAATTTCCAGACTAACATGTTTTAGGTGCAACTCTGGTTAAGATGAGGTGATGCAATATTTGCTTAACTATTAGTCTTTTGAGGTACAGCCTATGTGAATTAAAAAAAAGTTGGGAAGATACGAGAGCAATACCATATCTCTCATCCTTACATGCCTTCTTGTCCTGTAATATTACCAGACTAAACAGACTTTTCTGGAGATTGTAATTGCTCGTTGCAAAGCTAACAAGAAATAGCTGTATAACCTAGTTCTGACCAAGGAACAAAGCTTTCCAGAAGATTAATTTACACATGATGCAGCATGCATTGAAGAAAGAAGCTTTTGTAATAATTAGCTCATTAATAAAGAGTGAGAGTGTAGAGAGTGGAAAAAGTACAATGGGCGATTGCAACAGCAGCATAGATTGAAGCAAGCTTAGTGACGGTAGCGTCACAATGTGATGTTCTAACAGTTGAACATGCAGATCTGAAGAGGAATTCTTTAAAAATGATGGTCTTGTACTGTGTGTAGAGCACAAACAGGAGCCTGATGTACAGAAGGACCCCCAGTGTCACAAACTCTTGCAATATGGGCCATGGTTGCTAATGAGCTTGAGGGAAAGACCTACACCCAGGCTGGGCAGGAGTCTCGTGTTGCCTCCTGCTGCCTCAGATGCTGGTGGTTTTATCAGGCATGAGTCCCCTGTAGGGCTTGGTTCTGGTGCTGAGGAGGTCAGGAGGAGTTTTGACGTTGACACCTTTCCCCCTTGACTCCGAAGGGGTGCAGGCTTGGTGGTGCTGCACATTGAACAATGTTTATAGGGATCACAAAAACAAATTAGGGTTTCAGTAGTTTAGCAATAACTATTCATAAAGAAAGCTGTTATAGAATCATAGAATGGTTAGAGTTGGAAGGGACCTTAAAGGTCATCCAGTTCCAGCCCAGGTGTGTGGTTGGCTTTCTGGGCTGCTGGCACACATTGCCAGCTCCTGTTGAGCTTCTCATCCACAATACTATGCCATTAATTATCATTTTCCATTTGGTGACCTGTCCAATTTCAGTTTGTAAATCCCTAATGACAGAACCTTTTCTGTGAATAACTATTGGCCATACCTCTTGATTCAGAACTGGGGGCCAGCAGCCCACCCAGTACTCTGTCTCTAGCAGTGTCCATAAAGGATGCTGTGTAGGGGCAGCACATGAGCCTGACCACTATTTGTTGTACTCCCCAGCCATGTATAGTGGTAGGACTGGGAGTGCTGGAGGCTATATCTCTGCCTACTCTCTTCAGTGTCCTGTTTTGGACTTCCTGTCCATTATTTGTCTAATCCATTAATGAACCTGCTGATACTATTTTGACACAACAGTGTTTATGACAGCGAGTTTACAACCTGCTGTGTAAAAGATGGATTACTAATCTACTGTAATTATTGCCACCTCTGAGGAAGTAATAGAGAAGCATCTTAAACACAGGTCGGAAGTCTGTTCTGCCTTGGACTTCAGAAACCTAATAGAAAATGATGATTCTTGTTCCAAGGAGCTTACTGTGTATTTAAAGCATCTTTGAGCAGAACCTCAAAGTTCCAGAACATTTTTGGACCAGAAAGTGCTGAGTGCCTGTTTCAGTACCTTTAGTAATGTTGATTACTAAGCCTGAACCTAGTCAAGGGGTGTCTTCATTGGCCTGAAGTACATCCCTTTTTTATCTTCGTGTTATGTATTTGTTTTTTTTTGTTTTTTTTTTTTTTTTTTTTTTTTTGCAGTAGACCATCCTGGCCTCTCTTGAGCTCAGGATGGGATGGAGGGGATGCAGAGACCTAAAGATACTCTTAAAATGGGTAGCTAATACTTGGTCTCCCCGTGTCAGTGGGAGATGTGGTGCTGACCAGTAGATGTGTTCCTTGGAAAGCAGTTCCAGCTGGAGGGCGTTTCACACTGTGGTTCCCTTCCATGGGGCAGCAGCTTCAGGGTGTTTTACAGCAGGTCTTCCCGTGCTGCAAAAGGCTGCAAGGCTGCTTATGCGGCTGCACAGACTGATTCTAGACCTCTCGGTGTTTTATAGTATTACACAGAAGTTTTGGTGTCATTTTTTCTAGCTGATAGATAGCCATGTCTTATGAAAGTCTCTGCCCTGGTGAGCCTGCTGCCAGGACAACCTGTTTCTGGATAAAATGTGGCTGTTGCTGGTACAGTCTGAAGCGCTTGCTCATTTTCCTCTTGCTGAGGCTCAGCATTTCCCTTTGAAATCTTCAGGAAAAAAAAAAAAAAAGCCACAGTTGTCAGAATGCAGACAAATGTCAGATTACAGGCTTCACCTCCAGAGGAGTGTAACGCGGTGCTGAACGCCTCGGCAGCTTCAGCCAAGACCCGCCTGTTGACACAGTCAAAGTCATGGTCTCTTTACCTTTGGCCATCGTCCTCGGTGCTATTGTTCCAGCCACCAAAGGACAAGCTTGCTGTGACACTTCCAGCCAACCCAGTCGCGGTGCCATGCGCCGCTGTTCTCGCCCCACCAAGGACATTGCCTTCCCGACTGTGGTCACCCCAACCTCGTTCTTGTCGCCTTTTCTGCCGAACGTTGGGGTTTTGGTGAAGCTGGTGGGACTCCCTGAGCCCCATCTGGTGGAGAACTGATGCAAACTCCTCTGAGTGCCTGGCTCGTCTCTGGAAAAACGAAATGCTGTCTCTTCTTGGGTGGTGGTAGTTCCGTGGCTGCTAAAGTGGGTGTTGGACACTGAAACCCCATTATTTGATCCTGTGTTTTATGTGACTTCAAAAGCCAAAGGCAAATCGAGTGTGTAACGAAGCTTTTTATAAGATGATAAAATGAATCATCCGGCATCCGTCGGCGATAGTGAGATAGCTTAGTTCTAACAGGGAGGATTTGTATGTCTGGAAGTTTTGTAGCCATGGGCAAGTACATTTGGGTTAGTGTTCTCATGTGCAAATGAATTATTATATTTTTTAAGAAGAAGGTTTCATGTTTTTAGCACAGAAGATGCCTTTTATCAGCGTGAATAGAATTATTTGTATGATAATTTGGAATTTAATTCAATTTACAATACGCTCATTTGAAATTTTGTATTGACTTTTGAAATGACAATCATCAAGAGATGTGCTTAAATTCTCATTGGAGATTAAATAAGGAGAGAGTGATTGCTCGAGGAACTGGTCTTCTGAAATGCTGAGATGTCTGAGTGAACTCCTGTTGTCTGAGGGGCAATAAGCATTTCACAGAGGCTGCTCCTGTGCAGAAATAAAACACAAAATAGGAAGACACACTATCTGTTTTCAAAACTAATTTTGCCGGAGGTGGTAATGATGTTAGATAACAGGGTGACATTTTAACTTCTTAGACACATGATTGAGCAAAACATTGATCACGATTTTACAACGGGAATTAAATCTGAGAGTTTGTATTTTTTTAGCTGCTTTATCTCTGTGGAATGTGCAAAAGTTGTTGGCAGATAAACTTCAAAGCAGCTGTGCTTAGGATGTTGAAGGTCTGCAATGTTATCAGACCCAGCCACGGAGATTACATTTTAGCATTAGTGCTGCAAAAACTCGTGTTTGAAATGCATATTACCTCTCAGTAGATACTGCTCTCCCTTCCTCCCTCCTTCCCTCCTTCCTTTCTTCCTTCCTTCTTTCCATCCTTCCTTCCTCCCTCTCTTCCTTTAACAGTTTTTACCAGCTGTCAGTCTGTTTCCCAGCACTTTTCTTTTTCCCCTCTTTCCCACATCTCCCTTCCCACCCTTCTCCTTCCCCTCCCTCTCCTCCTTTCCTTCTCCCTTTCCAGCCCCCTGCTAGTCTGTCTTCCAGCACTTGTCTCGAACACCCAAATCATGCTGTGACATCTCACCAGAACAGACTTGGTGTTTACCATACCCTGACATGTATTCATGGATTAACTCCTACAGGCCCTGCTGCCTTGTGGAAGAAGGCAGCTGAGGGCTCATATTTTACTTTTTAGCCTTCCTTTCACTGCTGTCCCTGCGATGCTCTCCTCCAGCTATTTTTCTCCGCTTGGCTTTCTCTGTGTTTAACCTTTCCTGAAATCACTTCTACTATTACTACTACTGACATTTGAGTCACTCATCTTGGGAGGTGATATGCGAGACAAGTGGCATTAAGATGGAACAGTCAGCCCCTCAAACGTGTGTTTAGACAGCCTGTGTCCATAACCATACTCCTGCCTTGGAAGAGAGCTGGCTACCTGAGAGGTGACACTGGTGGGTTTCACTAGATGATGTTATTTCAGTATTTGAAGTGAGGGAGTTGGTCATTAGCATCATTAGTGTAGTTATTCACACCTTTGTTGTAGATGTTTGGCAACTGGATATACATAGAATCATAGAATGGTTTGGTTTGGAAGGGACTTTAAAGATCCTCTGGTTCCAACCCCCCTGCCATGGGCTGGGACACCTCCCACTAGAGCAGGTTGCTCAAAGCCTCATCCAACCTGGTCTTCAACGCTTCACTTTCTCTGCAACTGACTTTTTTTTTCTTGGCATTCCTGATGTTTATAATAGGAATCCACTTACATATACATGCACAGCCATAGGCACGCACATGTGTATCTCCAGTCATGCACACACACCTGCTGAAGCTTTGTTAATTGACGTTAAACTGCTGGTGTTCTTTTATTACAAAAACATTTTTCTCCATTGGCCTATTTGCACTGCTTTTTTTTTTTTTTAGCTTCATCTAATGCACTGGAACTCCACGCTGTACGGCAGCATTGATGAGGCAGTAGGGAAGAAGCACGGCATAGCTATTATTGCTTTGTTTGTGCAGGTAAGTTTCCTGTGTTTGCACTTGTTATCATGCAGTACCATTTGTCTGAGGAGACCGAGTTCCTTTCCATTTCCTTTCATTTTTAATGATTTCATAAAATAAAATGGTGCATGACTGCTAGCATTCTATTCAAAAGATACTTCACAGTCATGTTTTCTGTGTACGTGCTAAATAAGTGATTCATGTTTAAACAGGGTGTTGAAAGAATGTTAGTTAAAGAAGGGATAACACATAGTTGGCCATCTCTCTCTGTGACTCCAGCTATAAGCAGAAATCCACTCTTTGTTCCTCTGAGGACAGAATGAGGGCTCTCAGGAGGTAGAGGTGCTTCACTACCTTTGTAAAGTGTTTTTTTCCTTTCCTGGCCAGGCCTGCTATTTGGGGATTGAGGAAATATACAGAGGAGAAGAGGAAAGAGGGAAAAAACCCACCTACGAACCCATTGGCAGAGCCAAAAACTGATAGTAGGCTTGTCCTTTTCTGAACAGAGGGACAAGTGTGTTTCTTGACACAGGAGAAATGTGAGGTGGGGTGATAATACTTCTTCAGAGATGCCAGGCTGTGCCAAAGAGGCTTAAAGTTTGCTGGGGACAAGGTGTAACGCAAGCTGGGAAGTTACCCCCATAATTTAATTGCTGTTGAGGGGTTTTCAAGGGCTGCACCCTATAAAGAAGATTTTCGGTTTTACTCCTCAAACACAAAATTCTCATCCTCCCCATGAGAAATGGCAAACTGTTTTATTTAAATGGGTTTGGAGGAAGAGGTTTAGAGTTCATGCTTAGATCAAATGAATTTTCTTTCACAGTGACATTATTAATTTGTCGTATTTCATAACGAGTTTATGAGTGCCTTTGAGCTTTACCTCTGTTTGAATTTAGAGGTACATTGGTTACAGCTCCAACACTCAGATCTGCTAAAAATGGAAGTTAGAAAGTCTTCAGTTCTGTATCCTAGAGGGCTGTGTGATAATTGCTTATGTAAGTCACCTTCGAGTTCCAACAGAGGTAACGTTTGAGTTAGTTAGAAAGTTATATATAAGTTCTTAAATGAATCTGAAACTTCTATGATATATTTTCCATTTCTGGTCTCTCACCTTCATCAGAGTTCTTGAGCATTTTTCATTAGCCAAGAAAGGCATCGTATAATTACAGTTGACCAAGGAAAAGCAGTATTTATGCTGTTTATTAAAGGAACAGGGAAAGGAAATTCAGTGACCATTTTTTCCTCTTAAAGGAATGGAAATAAAATAGTTTTGCACCATAGTTCTCAAACACATCATTTTAAGGTCAGTGAAAACATTTTCACTGATTTACATGACAGCCCTTGGTGATCATTAATTTAGAAACAGCGTCTTTAAAGTGTTTACAATATCTTTTAAGGCACTTCTAAGGTTTTAAATTGAAATCCCATTCTGAAACAAAAGTAAATCCTCTTAAATTCCTAGAAATAGGAAAGTACCTTTCTGGTGACATTCAATTGTTTCCTTCCAGTGACTACCGTGCCATTCCATTCCAAGAGAAACAAAAAGCAAACAAATTTCTCAGGGTTTAGCTCTCCCATTCTCACTCGTGCTCTCTTCATGCCTCACCTCGTGTGTGTACACATTGGCAAAGAAATCAAGTGGAAGGCGGTTCTGACTTTTCCTATGTTGGCAATGTTGCTCTGAAGGTAAAAGCTAGGGTCCTAGAACAGGTGATTTCGATCAGAAGCAGCTGAAATCAGTGTGCAGAGTGAACAATGCTCATGGAAAAAAAAGAATCTCTTATTTCAACAGCGAGTTTCTTTTGAAAGCTTCATCTTCTGTGCCTTAAAGGCATTTGGTAAAGAGAGTGCTGGAGGCTCTCAGGAGCTTGGCTTTTGCCAGCAGGATCCCAGAAATGCCATAAAGGAGGGGATCTGACATTCTGCGCTCTGCAGGCAGGAAAAGAACTCCCCCAGGCTTCAGAGATACCTTGGGCCTGATTTGCAATGCTGTGAGAACAAATTAAAAAAGTGTCTGTTATGTTTGTTCACTCTGTTCCTTCCTGTGTACCTTTCTGACAAAAAAACTGGTAAGGACAAACCGCATCCTTGGCATTTATATGCCATAATGCTGCATGATTTTGCCTCCACATGCAGTATATGCTGGAAAACAGGGTTAATCAAAACTTACCAGAGTTATCTGTGACTCCTTATGATTTTGCCTCCACATGCAGTATATGCTGCAAAACAGGGTTAATCAAAACTTACCAGACTTATCTGTGACTCCTCTTTTTCTGTGAGTTTCTGTCTCTGCTTTAAATTTGTTTGCACCTCGTTTACTTTTGACTAGTGGCTTTACAGTGATTTAATTGTTTGGAGTTGCCATGTGTCGGTGTATTTGGTTAACATGAGGTTGTGTAGTTTAACTAAAAACAACTGCAGTTCTGGTTGACCTCCATCTTGCCTCACAGTTTCTGAAACAGAGAAATACTGAAACTCATCTTCGCTTGCTGTGTTTCAGATAGGAAAAGAGCACGTAGGCCTAAAGGCTGTAACTGAAATTCTCCAGGACATCCAGTACAAGGTAAGGCATCATCTGAAGAAATGCTTCCTTCACTGACCAGAGAGAAAGCGAGCAGAGGGCCTGTATGAAGCCAAGAGAAGGGTTTCAGATGTGCCTGTAGGAAAACCACGTGTGAAAGCCATCATTTGGTGTCCTGTGTCAGAACCTCAGCGTTTTACAGTATTCAGATAAGACACAGTCTCTGTAGTTCCTTTTCTGGTGGCCGGAAAGTTTCATGTCCTATGCCAGTAACTGATTGCAAATACTACCTTTTCAGTGATTATCATGGAATCAGTGTGAAAGCAAGCTCTGCAATATACTTAGTGAACACCAGCAGCAGTATCTCCAAACTTATCTGGTTTAAATTTGTAGAGGAAAAGAATAGATGAACTGAGCACCTATATTAGCTTGCAGTGGGAAATCAGTAAAAACACAATGCCGTCTTGTCAGGTGGATTATGTGTGGGGATGCTGAAGGACGGATAATAAGCTTAGCAGGACTGAGGAGATATGAGTGCTCTCCAGAATCTTGATGCTATCTTAAATGACCTTGGGCAAGTTACTGCCATCTCTCTGCTTCATGGTCTCTGTCTATAACATAGAAATAATCATACTTACCTTTGATTTTTAAGGATTTAGGGATGTGCTAATGAGCTGTTCTGTATTGGTCTGGAGTGATTAGCCATTCGCTTCAGTGGATGCCGAAGGGTAGAAAAATTAGAAGCTGTTGTTAGAAGGGAATTGAAAATCTTCTTGTAGTCAAATAATATATGGTACACTTCAGTCATGATGTTTAATATTGCAAACTCATTGTTTCTGAAGGTGTCAGAGAAAACAATAGTGTACGGAACTCTGTAGTTTCATTACTGAAAGGGCAGCCAAGTAGAGGAAGTTAATGAAAGGCCTGGTCACTGTGAGCATGTTTATACTGATGACTTCCAGAGGGTCAGTATCAAACTAATTTTTTTTACCATACCTAAAATTTTCTTGCGTTAAGTATTTGGAACCAGCTTTACTTTGTTAAGTGTTATCCACGTCAGTCAAGGAAAAACTCACTTTGGCCCTTGCTTTTTAAACTCATTTTGTATGGAACCCCTGAATTTCATGTAGCGAATTTCAAGGCTGGGACCTGGAAGGAACCCAGGTACTGAAGGCAGAAAGTTAACAAACTGCTGAGATAACCTCAGAAGTAAAATATAAAATAGAATAGAAAAACGTGTTTGTGTAGCTGCAAGGACAAATGCAATGATGATCAAACGGGGCTATTAATGAGGTTGCTTTGTACAGAAATTCAAGGCCTAATGTTATAAGAACACACAGTGTGTTTTACCTCTCCATTCATCATCATTTTCATAAGAAATGAGAGATGAGATTGATTTGTGTTCATTTTTTCAGGGAAAGTCCAAAACAATACCCTGTTTTAATCCCAACTCTTTATTGCCAGGTAGGTGCCTTTGCTTACTTTTTTGTGTGTGGATTACTAGCTAATTGCAGAGACAATCTTGACCTAAGGCGTAGCCTAATTGCAAGCCTGAGAGCGTGTCCCATGAGGTGGTAATGCATTTTGCACCTAGTGGTGCTAACAGGGGTAAGTGTGTCCCATGAGGTGGTAATGCATTTTGCACCTACTGGTGCTAACAGGGGTAGGGATAGAATCATAGAATGGTTAGAGTTAGAAGGGACCTTAAAGATCATGGAGTTCCAACCCCCCCGCCATGGGCAGGGACACCTCCCACCAGACCAGGTTGCTCAAAGCCCCAGGATGCTCAAAGCCCCGCCTGGCCTCGAATGCTTCCAGGGATGAAGACCCTTTGGAATTATTGATAAATCTGCATGTTCATTGTGTGAGTGGGATGTGATACTGTAGTCCATGCACTGCTGGCAACGCTATGGCTAGATTTCTTGATGATTTGTCATCTCACCTTGAGGAGGAGCTATGTGTAGTCCTTCCTCTACTTTGGCATAGGAAGCTGGTATTCCTTAAACAGAGGCCTGTTTTCACTCAAGGAAGCGTAAGGTTACCCACTTACCAAGGTAGCTTTTTGGCAGCATCAAAAGACAATGCCATAATGCAATGACAGTCGTGTAGCATACAAACAGTAGTGACAATGGGAGGCAAATTCAAATTCATATACCTGAAAGTTGAAGAGTAATAGTAAGAAACACGCACTTCCTCTACCCAGTCTTGAAAAAAGAAGTGACTTTTAAAAAAATGCATTTCTACAAGAAGATTCTGCAAGGAATGTTTTTTGAGTTAAATTCCCTGTCATAGTGGCAAGATCTTTAATTTTCTGAAGTAATCCAGGTCTACATTAAACTGTATTAATTATATCAGAAGAATATTGTTCAGGTTGCAAAGTCAAGTGCTCAGCAATTAGGAATTGCAGGAATTAAGGCTGCCTGTGCCCCTTCATGCGTATGTGTTATAAAACATCTTTTAATTGCGTGACCGTAAATTATTTTTTACAGGACCCCTGCCTCACAGTTCCTGTTTGATGCTGATCAAGTCACGTAAACCAAAATTTGCAGAAGTCATCTCTAACTATGTGTTCCTCGTTTTCTAGGTGCCCGACTTGAGATCATGGGGTCTGATTTGCAGAAGTGCTGAGTGCTTACACCTCCAACTGAAGTCAAGGGGAGCAGTGCTCTGACTGCATTAAGTGCTATAGAAAGTTAACTACTCTGAGAAATCAGGTTCTAAGCATCTCATACTGAACACCTCAAATGAATAGATGCATTTAACCTTAACTTCTCTGTGCCTCAGTTCCCCAGCTTTCAAGTGTGGGGGTTAGCTGTCCTTCCTCACCGCTCTGGGGTGTTGGAAGGATAGATTAATTCATGTTTGTGAAGCACTCAGACACTGAAGAAATGAGTGCATTAGTAACAGGAAAGATGAGAGAATGTGGTCCTTCTAACAAGCAGGATTTGAATACCATGGAAAAAAGAAGACCCAGGACCACATATTGTACTGAGAAAGCCAAATATTAGTAGATGCTTTTCAAAAGAAAATCATCCATCTTTGCAAATAAATGATGAAAGGTTCTCTAGAAAAGACATACGTGATCATCTAACAAGATGGTGTCAAAATGCATGCACAGGATGGGCTGAATTAATTCTTGCAGTTCTTAACTTCTGAGTGTTTGATCATGCAGCTTGCTTTCAATTGATTTGATATCCATTTCTATCTATTTGCTATTTGAGAAAGAAAATTACACCACCGAAACAAAATCCATTCACTGACAGTCACAGGCTTCATTAGCAAGATTTAATTCTACTGATACTGCTCCGAGCTGGTAGTGAAGTGGCAGTGACAGGTTGGTTAGGTCATCTGAGGAAGTTTTTTTGTTTCCAATCTCCCATTCTGTCCTTGTCAAGCTAGTCACAACCTTCCCCCTCGCTCTCCATGCCATGATTAACCAGCCTTTATCACCAGTTCCTCTCTAGGTTTGTTTCTTTTCCTCTCTTTTACAGTCAGGCAGTTTCCTCTCCGTGTTCTTAAGCTGTGCCAGGGAGTTGTTTGTGAGCATGGCCTACAGCACCAAAGGAAAGCTCCCTGTAGTCTCTCATGCAAAGTGTAGTGTGACTGGAATCTTTGAGGACTTAAGATAATCAGAATCAAACAAGTGTATGCAGAGTTAAAACTCTGCTTGGAAAAACTGTTGTACGTTTTCTTGAGAGACAACTGTTTATTCTAGCGGTTATTTATAAACCTATTAATAAGTTCATAAACATACTAAAATAGGTTTATTCTTAAATAAAGCTTGGGGTTTTTTTTCTGCTGTGAAATTCAACTCACTTTCCTAAAGCTAGGAGGCACCAGTGCATCTCAAAAAATATGTCACCAGAATTGCGAACTGAAAAGTTTGGCTTGAGCTGTTTTCACTGAATTTTTCTAAAAAATGAAATAAATTCATCCTAAGGAGACATATCCTAAAAGTAGAAGTCAGTTAAAATTTGATCACCTTCAAATGGGATGTTTCTTGCAGCTTTTGACACTAACAGGAGTTCTTTCCCACCATGTTGTTCATTTGCTGTGTTAGTTTAAGGAGTTGTGCACGTTATTTTTCATATCTATAAAGTGGCATTTTCATCTGCAGGGAGAAGTTACTGCAATATAAAGACCACAAGCTCATGTGTATTCACTCAGTGGACAGTGCTTGGCAGGTTATAAATTACTGCAATATAAAGACCACAAGCTCATGTATATTCACACAGTGGACAGTGCTTGGCAGGTTAAATATCCCACCGTAGCTCACTGCGTACTAACCTCATCATACGAGAAAGCCCATGGCTATCACAAGCTGTCATAACTGAAAGGCACAATTGTCTTCCTTAATGTCATTAAAATTCCACATTTCTTTTAATTTCAGATCCTCTTCTGCGTGACTACTGGGTGTACGAGGGCTCTCTGACCATTCCTCCCTGCAGTGAAGGTGTCACCTGGATATTATTTCGCTATCCTTTGACTGTGTCCCAAGTGCAGGTAACGGCTGTGCTTAAAGTGACCTTGGATTATGGTTATGAGCTAAAGGTTATAGCGTGCAAATATATATATCAGGACATTATATCTGTTCTCCTTGAAGATCCCATTAGATCAGTACATGGCTTTTCAAGTAAAGGTTAAGCCTTTTGAGTCACTGAAAGCAACGCAAAGGTCAGAGATGAAAACCTTGTTATCATTTATCATCTGCATTTAAAATAATTCTTTATTAAAGTGGAAGAAAAAGAAGTCAATGGGCAAAAGAAATTCAATTCTTTGTAATTGTAAGCTTTCAAATATCACTGCTTTTTGATGTTAAAGGAACAAAAAAGCACAGGGAGACACGATGTGCTGGAGAATGAAAAATGTTAACGTAGTACAGGCTAGCTATATTGCATTGAACTGTATTTAAGTTATCTTGCTCTTTTTTAATTCTGTTTTATATTAAATGTCAACTGGAAACTGCCTATTTAAACTTGATTTCACACATATGTATTTTAAAGTGTTTTTTTAAATACTACCAGTTGTGTGAGACTTTCTGTAGAAAACATTTCAAATCTGTCTACAACTAATCCCAGTGAAAACAATGAAACCTCCTGATGAATATTCTCCCATAGTCTGCGAGTCCCAGCTGGAGGAATGTGGGTTTAATTTAAGTGAAACTATCTAGAATCCTTGAAGCTGAATGCCTTAATTTTCATTGCCTGCTCTGGAGCATGTGCAAACAGAAGGAAAAAAGTTTAAAAGGTGATAAATTCAGATTTAAATTATTTCAGCTTTCATAACCTAAAATTTTGCTCATAGTCCCAGCATAATATTTTAACAGTTTTAACAGTTTGAAATTGGTAGTGTTTCTTTTCACGTGAAAACTGAATTCTGGTTCTAATCACAGGATAAAAGCAATAGCTCCCAATAAACTTATTTGTATGGTAGCTGCAGCTTAAATGTATCCCATCATGAATCTGATATTTTTTTGTTTATGAAAGGATCAGTCTTATGGCTGCTTATTACTGAATAAACGGAAACAGAACCGTGTTGTCATTATTAGATGCAGAACAACTTTTAAAGACAGAGTGCATTTCGTAACTTTGGAGCTAATTCCATTCATATGGGTAAATAAGAGGACAAGCAGAATTATAAAGACCATACCTATAACACTGAGACATTGTATAATACTTTATTTCATGCTATTTGCAGATTCTGTTGTCTCTATTCCCTTTTCATCCAGACAATGCATGGAGGAGAGCACAGTTCAAGCCATCCTCATGTGGTGGGGGATGGCAGGGGGGTGAATGAAAGAGAAATTAAGCAGAGGAATGCAACTTCAGTTAATATTATTTTCTGCTCATATACGACAAGAAAACATGGAATGTGGTGTGAAGGGAATAAGTCTGCAGGAGAGGATATTGTGCCACTGGTATAACACCATAACACCCGGTGATGATGGCTTGGACGGGCGTGAGCTTCACTGGGTGAAAAACTGACTGGATGGCTGGGCCCAGAGCTGTGGTGAATGGAGTTAAATCCAGTTGGTGGCTGGTCACAAGTGGTGTTTCCCAGGGCTCAGTAGTGGGGTCAGTTGTGTTCAATATCTGCAAGGTGTCAATTGAAAAAAAATATGGGGACAAGGAAATGAGAAGCAGTGATTCTGGGATTCTACAGTCAAAAGGGGCTGAGTGTTCTCCTGAAAGCCAAGAAGAAGATTTTGGGGGTGCCAGAATATTTTGCTGTAGCCTAGACATCCAAGATTTTTAACTTGTAATTAGCATTTTGGATGCAATTAAGTATCTGGCCTCTTTTGTGCATGTGGACATGAATGCCTGTGAGAGATTGCATTTAAGGAGAGATTAGAAATGCAAGGGCTTTTGTCTATGGAAAACAAGAGGATGTAGTATAGCATATACTATTCTGAATCATCCATGGAAGGTTGATAAAGGCATTTGATTTTATTAAGCCTGCTGTTGTATTAAAGCATAGATATCAGTGCAAATGCATTGCTATTGAATTTAAATACATCATTTTTACATGTCATTAACTTGCAGAACTTTCTTCTGTGGGATACTAATGAACACAGCTTATGAAACTTCAAGTGATTAATATAAACACTAGTAGCATCTGTAGTTATAGCTGGTAAGAGACAAATTCAAGGCTTTCTGTTTTTATTTGTCAGGCCATAAAATAGTCAACTTCTGAATGTCAATAAGAAGTAGCAATAAAGAATGACACAGTCTGATATAGAATAAGTTTTATGGCCTTCCTCTGATGAAGCTAGTTAATGTGTCAGAGGCAAGATACTCATTCACATTCTCATTTTCTGTAATTAACATAGCAATATTGATTAGCATAACTAACTGTGGGTCACAAGGGGAAAAAAATGAATAAAATTGCAGTTCTAGTTCATGGTTACATCTATACATTTTCACATGTACTTATTTTGAAACAATGAAAAAGTGACTCTTTGGGCATAGGCTGAGCATTGCAAAGTAGAGAACCTTTTTCTGTTTCTCCTGAAGACATTTATAGATAGCAAAGTTCAACAGATGAGTTAATTTGCTACTGATCTAAGTCAATGTTAAGTGAGAGGAGATTAATCTCCACATGCACCTCACTGCAGCAGCTGGGATGGTGTTGGTTATGTGAACAGCAAAAGGGTGAGCCAGGGCTGCAGAGTCAGGCTGTGCTTTCCTGGAGTCTGAATTTATTTCCTCTCTGCAAGTCATTTTCTTTGATGTGAGGCTTCACTTCCATCAGAGAGCTGTTTTCTTCATGGGTGGGTCTGTGAGGTCTGGGTAAAGTTTGCCAGTAACTCTTCTCCCCTGGAGAATAAGGACCTTGCAAATCTGGTTCTTGGAGTTTCATTACTGACCTCAGTAGAAGGAAGCTTATCTGGAAAGCTGCACTCTGCAGTGCTCTTCTTCAATATTCCTGCCTTCCTTTTGTGGTTTTTGTCATCCTCGTTTATCTTAGGTTGAAATATACAGCCCAGAAAGAACTGTGGCGACTGCTTTTGTGAGACACCTGGCCCGTGTGCCTACACTGCTGAAATACAGTGGGAGAAAACAGAAAAAAATCTCTGTTAGGCCAGTAAAGAGCAGGAGATAATTGAAAAAAGACTTGCTTGTGCTTCTCTCCACTATATTTTTTTAAAAATGGGACATTTGTGAATAACGTGCTTTGTGGTTCCCTGAAGCTCAGAACAAGTACATTGTCTAAGCCACTCGGAGTAGGGATTTTAAACAATGGTGCGACAAGGAGCTGTCGTTCTGCTGCACTCGTTGTCGGAGTTAACTGGTTTTTGTATTGAATGGGGAAGTCTCTAGTCCTTTTGTCTACCTCATTCAAAATCAAGACCTCCTAAAGGACAGAAATAGTAAGTAGCGTGGAGCGTGGAGCTGGAGTGGGAATTGTGCAAAATTTATGTAGTCTGTGAAATAAAGCGAAGCCCTGAGAGGTTCATGGTTTTCTGTTCCTGAGGAAGCAGGTCTGTGTTCTTGGAAGGTGGCATGGAGGCATGTGAGACTTTCAGTCAGAAGGAAAATGCTTGTGTTCCTCACATGGAAGAAATGTTTGTAGAGAAAACACGCACGTTCTATTCTTCAGCAAATAATTAAGTGAAACGGAAGAAAGCAGTGTTCAGGATCTGAATACAGGGAAGTGGTAAAAACATTCTTGCAAAATTCTACAAAATACAGACTAAATGCTTTTATTCAGTAGAAAGGTGACTGTTAACAATGTGGATTTACCTCTTTACTGGTTAGAACTTGATCCTGAGTTGTGGCATGAATAGACCTAGGTGGACCTTAGTGTCTTCTGGGCATGAGAAAAACTTCTATAAATGGCTGTTCCTGTAAAGTGTGTGAATATCCAAGGATGCTTAGCCATGTGCCTCTGAAATATCTGTTTGTGCAGAAGTCCTACGGGGTCTACTTCACATCACTGACCTGTGAGGGCTTGGGAGGAGATAGTAGGTGGGTTCCATGTGGGTTGAAGCAGGATGAGTGGGGCACACATATTGCTTTGTCATGTGGAATTTTAATAGGTAAAGCAGTGTCAGCACAGTTAGTGTCCTTCTCTGACAGAAGCACTCTTCAAGGGTGAGGGACACAATGTGTAGAGGTCTGTGTCATGAGGGATCTGAACCACAATCTGAAGGACTAAACAAGGAGGCCACAGATCTCAGAAGCAATTCCCCCTTGGAGCAGGGCTACAATTATTTACTTCCCTGAAGACTAAAGAGCAGGCTCAGGGATCAGATCAGTCCTGCTTTCCTGACTGAAGAAACTGGAAGCTGCTTTGTGAGAAGTACCTCCTGGAGAAAGATTTCACTGTGGTGGGATTTGGGGCAGAGAATTTGTAGTTATAGTAGGAGACAGCTTGCAAATGCCAGCTTTGCAGAGAGAAGTCTGCTCTTCCCTCTCCTTCATCTGTGTTAGTTTGAAGTCTCTCATTCTCAAAAGATCAAACAAAAGCCATGTTCTTGTAAAAAGTTCCTTCCTAAACTACAATTATTTCAGACTTTCCAGAGTTGATTCAGATGATGAAAGAGGCCACCTTAACACAACCCATTCTGTGATTTACCAGCACTTGACTCCTGAAGACTTTTTCAGTTCCAAGTCCATAGTGGGTTTGTTTTTAGTTTGCTTTAAATAAACAAACAAAATCGTCTGAAACAGGGTTCTGCCTCTA